ACACTGATACCTCTGCCATGTCTGTACAGTAAATATAAAGCTACAACCAGGAGACGGCTAGCTTTGCTTTAAAACTGGAAAAAAAGAGGGAAACAGCTACTGTGGCTGCCCAACAACAAAATCCACCAACCAACTCCTTTAAAGCTGTAAGATCTTGTTTGTTTGGATATTATGTCAAACTTTTTCTTGAAGAGCAACCAGTGGAGACTCTGGAAAGTTTCTGGTCCCAGCCGAGAGATAGCTCACCCCAGTTCCTTTCAATTCTTTATGCTATGCTAAGCTAACCGGAGAAGAAGAGACATGCCGGAGAAAATTACAGAAAGTGAAGTTGGTGATCATTTCAAATTTCCGTTGTAAAACTGAACAAGCTTAGCAAAACAAGTTATTGTTTTAACCTGGGGGAGAAAAAAATCACAAGAGAAAATGCGATCAATCATCTGATCTGAGCTTTTTTTTTTTAAACTGTCCTTTATTTTTTTTAATCCTACAGAAAACATCAAAGACCTGAATTATTTTCTCTATTGTATATTTACTATTGCTTTAATAAAGCAAAAGTATTTCTTATCCAATTACTTGATTAATCACTGAAATAATCAATAGAATACCCGATTACTTAATGAATTAATAGCTGCAGCCCTAGTTTCAATCTTCTCATCAAACTCTTCACCAGCAAATAACCCAAACAGTCCAACCTTTGCTTTAAAACACTGGCGGTGAGTATTAATAAATAGCTCACAGCGAGCATTGGACAGTCACATACAAACAGGTTACTGGCTGTGTGAATGCAGACGAGGTTTAACGGCAGACATACGCTGAATACGTGTTGGTTTCATCATAAGCCGTGCCGTCTACATTCAGAGCGATCTGCTCTCCTTTGCTGCGACAGTAGTTTGGACTCATTGTGTTGATGGCCATTTCCAACTCCACCTGGATTATGGATGGTACAAAGAAAACACATTACAAACATTTTTCTAGAATGGAGGATGATAAAATCAGGAAAGAGCCTTTTTATTTTTACCCTTTGCTGCTTGGGTTTGATCTTAGCCGCTAGGTGGTTGACGTCGTCATAGGTCATAGTGGATGGTCTTACAGGGTACTGTATCAGTGGAAACAACACATGTGATTAGTGTGAGACTCAGGACACTTAGACACACAGAATCTGCTCACAAAGGGGGAGTCGTACTCATCAGCATGAAGTGCAATAAAGGAAAAGATTACCTGGAAAAGATACAGCTTATCTGCGAGGCTTTTGGCAAGGTACACATCAATCTAGAAGAAAGAGGAACATTGATCAAAGTTATTCTCTGACGATACAAACTGGAACTGGAAGATTGTCTTAATCAAGCAGCTTTTTCTTGATTTACTCCTTCAGTGTTTTTCCTGTTACATTAATTTACTCGCAACGCCACAGCAATCCCTGGACTCAAGTTATTTTACACAAAAAAGTTTTGTTCAAGTATATGTTCAATATGAAGATTCGACTATTCATTCCTTCTTTTTTTTTTGAAGCACAGTGCCTAAATCAGTAGTTCCTCCGGTGGAAACGCAGCTACATGACTCGCTTCTCTTCGTCATCTGCGATATAAAAACATCTGATTTCCACAGTCAGAGAAAAATAAAATCTCAGCACACCATGTAGCATCTCTCCTGCCAGGCTGCTCTCCGCGCTGTTAGCTGAAGAGTCAATCACAGCGGAGCCGAGAGAGCGTCGGAGCAGCTGCCGCCCTGCTGTCTGCTGTCACGCTGCCCTCCATTAACTATCACTCTTCTCTGCTTCCATCAGTTAGTTTTGTGGTGTGTGTGTGGTCATTTTGTGACTGGGTTGGTGAAGTTTACAGCCTGCCAAGCTGTCACTCTCTGATTCGACTGACAAAATCACTGTGGGCCGCAGTGTGCTATACAGATACTGAATTAGGGAAAAGGAGAGCACTGGCTTATGATTGGGAACCGGTATTATCAGACACCCTCAGCTGAGGAATCAGAAGTGGGAGAGAGAAAGCCAGATCAGTACATCCCTATCTATAACCACCTTCCACACACAACTTATTAAACTTAATAAGTTCTGCTTCTGCCGCGCTCTCTAAATATCAACCATTTAAAACCTGTCAACTGTGTTCATAATAACGAAGGCCAGTGTCACCCGGTTAAATGGTGAGGCTGGCTGATGTGTTTTAAACAGTTCACGGACAACAATGGAGCGCTACGGTATGGCACCGAGGAATGAGCCATGTCACATTTCAGCCAACACAAGTCAGCTGGATTAAAATATCACCACTCTTATCCTTTAACCTGGGTCTAATGGACAAACCTCTTCTATAATGGGGTCGTCGTCATCCCCGCTGGCCATATTGATGTGAACAGAGCGAGAGGGGAAGGGAGAGGAGATGAAACAGGA